CGAAGCTCTTATTAATCTACCCGCTACGGCTATACAAAATAAAAATACTGACCTTCAAGAAACAGTAAATATAAATCTGCCTATTGAAAGTCCTATAGAAGTAGAAAGTGTTAGGCCTGAAAGTATGGAAATAGATAATGAAACTTATGAACTACCCAAAGAAGAGAATAAGCCCTTTGATCAGGAAAATTTAATTGAAAAATTATTAAATCAAGACAATGATAATGTGAATGTTCGTTTTGAGACTGAATTAGAAAAGAACGAGAACTTGAATGCTGCACAATCATTAGTCGAGATGTCAGAGTCAATTGATCACAAAATTAATATTATTGATACTAAAAATACAGTCAGCACTGTTTCAGAGTCTATAGACCATAAAGTCAATGTTATTGAAGCTAAAAGTAAAATACTCAACAACAAAGATATTGGCAAGATACAGGAGGCAGATAAAATGGTTAAACAAAACAACGGAATTGAGAATAATATTACAGTGGAACAAAAAGTCGCATCACTGTCTAAAGACAACAGCAACGAACCTGCTAGACCTGCCAAATATGAAACTACCTCGTCGAAACTATTAAAGATTCTCGAAGAACCTTGTGCACCAAAATTTGCGAAAAACACGCCACCAAAACAAGTAATGCTACCAGGCAAAGAGAAGATATTAAATTTCGATGTCGCCAAATCATCGTTTAAGAGCAAATCTCAATCTCCAGTGATTATTCGACGAGCTGCAAACAAAAATATAATAAATAATATGAATGAAAGAGGCACACCTGAAAAAATAATTCTTTCTCGTAGCAACAAGCCGACTCAAGATGGATCTTCGGTACAAACATACACAATACAGACTTCTCCCGATACTCCGCCAGATGCTAACACCATTACCATATTACCACAGAAAGTTAGAAAAATACAAAAGCCACTAAATAAGTTACAGAAGATAAAGCCACAAAACTCTCTTGTTACTCCATTGAATGAAAGTAAAACGGTTAAAGATACAACTATCACAGAAGATGCTATGTTTGACATAAACTCTATGCCTATTGTTTTATCAGATGATATTCTAACCCCTGAAAGTATTGAGAAAATGCCGATCGTAATGTCCGATGGTAATCTTATCACGAATACTTCTAATCCGCCGAAACTGGTGAAAACTAAACAACACATAATCGAAAGTGATAAGTCTTCAACAAGTACGGTTAAACCTGAACTTAAGACCTTGCTTATGAATCCCGTGACTGAAGGCAACAAAGTTGCTACGCCCAATATTCTTTCAAAATCATCAAAGCTGCGCGGTGCTAAACCTATGTTAGTGATAGACAAGGCTACAGGAAAACAAAAAATAATTATGACGAAACCAGAACCAGCTGTAAAAGAAGTTAAATCTGCGCCGACGTTGATGCAGCCCGTCCCTCAAAACACTGGAAAAGCTGAAAAGTTTTTAATTTTACCTACAGCATCGTCGCCTCGCCCGGGACGGACCCAAAAAATAGTTATAAACCCACAGACAGGGAAAGCGCACGTCCTAGTGGCGAAGGGTCCAGAAACGTCATTGAACTTGAACGAAAATAAACCTGTGTCAGCAAAATTGGTCCCGTCGAGTTCAGACGCAACTTCCCCTGGGAACACAGTGATGATCATCACGAATGCTCAAGGTGCTCAATCAAAAATCATCCTGACTTCAGAGCATGAGAAAATTCTGTTCCCAAATAAACAGCAACCTAATATGTCACAATTGAAGACAATCACTCACAAAATATCGACGACTTCGGGCAACCCACAGAGAACTATGGTGAGTCCAGTGCCTCAGGTGAAACCGCCAACGCGTATTGTGCCTAAACAACAAAAGAGTGCTATAATCACATCCAAAGGACAATTGATCGTCGGCGGCCGAGTCGCCACCACCGCCCAGAACATCGCCCCGATGCCCGAGATCAGGTCCGTTCCCAAGAGAATAATAGCGACCAACGAGCCGAAAAAAATCGTACAAACCATTCAAAAACCCGCCTCGGAACCGCTAATATTCTTACAACAAAAATCTGGAACCGTAGTTCAGCTGACCGCGTCGCAGTTCGAACATTTCCAAAGAACGGGTCAGATCGTTCAAAAGATCGCGGTTCCCGCACAAGAGAAGCCGATCGTTCAAAAGACAATAACCATATCGCCGGTCGATTCGGTCGCGAACGTCGTTCAAAAACCTAGGATAAGGAAAACCATAACGGAGTCTCCCACGCCGGCCAAGAGGATCAAGCACGAGATAGCGATCGCGCCCGCGCAGCCGCCCGCGCTCGCGCCGCTCGCCGCGCCCGCGCCCGCGCCCGCGCCCGCGCCCGCGCCCGCGCCCGCCTGCAGCGCCGACATGGACAACTTCGAGGAGATGCTGCCGTCCACGGCCATCGCGCGCCAGCCCGAGCCCGCGCCCGCGCCCGCGCCCGCGCCGCCGCTGGCCGACGGCCAGCTGCTGGCCGTGCCCGGCGAGCACTTCGGCGGCCCGCCCGGCTCCTTCTACCTCTGCGTCGAGGACGGCGGCACGCTCACGCCCATCGACAACCGGCCGCTCGTGCTGGAGAACAACCAGCTGGTCCCGATGGCGGTGGAGCCGCCGCCGCAGCCCGAGCGCCGCGACATCCTCGAGGCGGCGCTCGCCAACAGCGACGTGTTCCACGCGGAGCCCCCGCGGGACGAGGCGCCCGACTTCCGCGACCTCAACGCGAACGTCTCGGTGCACTGCCGCGTGTCGGAGACGAGCACGACCCTGAACCAGCCGATAATGACGCCCGTCGAGGTCCCGTCGAAGGGCGACAGCGAGCCGGCGGTGCCGTCGACGCTCGAGGACGGGCTCGCGGTGATCGGCGTGACGCCGCACTCGGTGCCGACCTCGCTGGAGCTGCCGATCACGGTCACCGACCCGCGGATAGCGCCCAGGGCCGCGGACCCGCTGAGCGGGCCCGCCTACGGCGCCGGCCTGCTGCCGTCGCCGGGCGCGGAGCTGTTCGCGGGCGCGGAGGAGGCGTGCGGGCCCATGTCCATGCCGCTGCTGACGGACGACGAGGCCGTGGGCAAGTCCATGCCGCTGCTGACGGAGGAGGCGGCGTCGTCGGCGGAGTCGGCGGGCTCGCGCGGCGGCACGCCGGACGCGGAGCGCTGGCCGCGCCGCCTGCACACGCCGGGCTCGGACACGTCGGAGGCGTCGGCCGAGATCCCGCTGCAGCCCGCGCTGCAGCTGTCCGCCAGCGACGTGTCTCAGCTCAGCTAAACCTCGCTTCTGTTTCGATTTTCGTATTATGATTTCGATGTAATTTTGAAGATCGTTTATTTATTATGGATTCTCTTTGATTTACTCGATTATAAAATGTGCAATAGACTAAGTCTCATCTATCCTTTTATGTATCGATGTATGTTTCGTTCGATAAGTTTGCGGCGAGACGCGTTTTGGAGTTATCGAAAAGGTTATGAGGATGACCGGGATTACTTGATGTGATGGAACTGTGGTGAGAGTGATTTAATGAATATAGCTATGTATTTTTAAACTCGATTCGTGAGCGTTAGAAACGCGCACAGGTTGGTCTGTACTCTGTACATACGTACACGATAAGATGTATGACTTCTCCTTGTATTTGGACTTGTCATTCATAAATTATAATGCATTACTGCATTACATATAGTGTAAGGAATTACAATTGTACATTTAAATTGAATTATGATATTGTTGGATCGCATCTGTAATATATAAAAGTTTAGGTATATAATATTTTTATAACGTCTAGAAATGTCTGGCATATTGTATGTACTGTTTTCGAATTTCTACATGGAAAATTTAACTCCGGTCCGCAGATAAAATGGAGAGTTAGTTCATTGAAAGGACTCAAAGAGTTGCGTAGGAGCGGTTCGCGAGAAACCGAATGGAATGACTATATCATAATGTAGTGTTAAAGTTAAGTACAATATTGTTGAGGTAACTTTTAAACATATGTCTTAAGGCACATATTGGTTTGTTTGATTGATCTATGGATTATGAAAATAGAGTCGTTAGTAATTAACTTCTGTGTAGTTTTATTAAATAAACTTTAATCAAAAAATCTTTCTTTTATTGAATATCTTTGCTCGCCGGTCTTCTAGTTGATATTTTTGAAAAGAGGCTAACTCCGAGTAGGTATGCTAAACAAAACTTTTCATATTCGTCACTCATCGCTCATATAAATAATTACACTTGTGTTTCAACACTAAAGGAGACCAAATAAAACGCTATAGCAAGTTATTTATGATTTACTATTTGTGCAACATTTTGTTTAAAAATATCTCTTATAAATTAAAAATCTGTATCTATTATAAATTGTAAAATGCAATATATACAATGCAGAAACTCTTGATTCCTTACTTTCTTTGTGTGACGAATGTTAGAATTTTTTTTCATAGACCAAAAATTTATTATTGTTGACAGTATTCATTTAATTTATGAGGCAATAAAAAGGTACATTTAAAATGCGATTTATTTTCATATCACAACTCGCAAAACTTTTACTCACTACTTTCTAAACTAAAACTACGGTAACAATTTCTAATTTATAAATTCGTAATATGAAAATAGTTGCAATATACAACAAAATAATGAATGACGCTTACTCTATAATACTTCTAATAAAATGTGTGAAACTTTGTTTCAGTGTAGTTTGTATTAACAAAATAAGTTATAACAACCTACAACAGTCAAGAGGTAAAGGAAAGTTCATTCCATAAATTAACTCTTTTGTAAATACAATATTGTACACGTGAATAACTAGTTACATCGGTGAATCGTTCGATGATGATAATCACAACGGCTCATTACAGTCTTAACACGGAGTAAAAAATACTTGGAACTCGACATTGGAACGAGTGGGAGGGAGCGTTCCTGTCGATTGCATTGGTCTACTTCTAAAAGGTGTCCTTTTGGTCCTTCTAGATTTGGTGTTGGTTCTTCTAGAATTGTAGTTGGTCCTTCTAGAGTTGTAGCCGCGTTACTGCAAGGCCGTCCGTGTGGTGTTGGGCAGGAAGAGGCACATAAGACCGCCGCTGGCCAGTAGGAAGGCCACGATGAAGGTGGGCGCGGGACAGTACGTGTCCAGAAGCGCCGCTATTACCACGTTGCCGATGATGCCGCCGAGACGGGCCGCCACCATGGATATGGCTACACCCGTCGCTCTGCAAGATAATACGAAGGTAAGTATTAGATATGTGTCTTGTAAGTAGTAGTTCCGGTAGAGTAGAATAGAACTCTCATTCTAATTTTCCCGCGAATGGCATAAAAAGCTTGAATTGGGTCTATTTCCGAATCTTTTCGGATACATTAGATCAGTAAAGAAATAGCTCTTTGCTGCTACTGCCCCCCTTATCAAGTTGCACTTTTTGATCTAATCGAAAACCGAATCCGTCATAACTCCATACAAAAAAGGATTTTCGAATTTTTCGACCATTTTTCGACTGGTTTGCGATTGTAATGTGCATTTTTTCTAGACCCACTGTTTTAGCTGTGGTTTTAGTAAGAGATAGTTTAGAAGTGGACTGCTATTGGCTGTAACGAAGATAGCTAGAGATACTCTCGTACCTAGCGTAGGTGTTTTGAGTTAGTAAGTACTTAGTTTAGTCCTTACCTTAAGTTGGTAGGGAAGACTTCTGTGATGAGGCAGTCGAGAGACGCGTTACCGCAGGATATCACGGAGCTGAAGATGGCGCTCACGATCAGGTTGTTGGTCTTGTTGTACACGAAGTACATGGCGGCCGAGCACAGACCCGCAGAGAATGTGGCGAACACTGAAACAAACAATGTGATTTCTTGTAGTGCTTAGGTTACTCCTATCTTCCAAGGTGTGCTCGTGCGCGTTATAAGAATACTTGTTTAATTCATCTTAATGTATTTTATTAAAGTTTCTTTTTTGGGCCAACAGCCGACTGGAGGATATTACCAAATTGAGTTGCTAAAGTATTTTGTAACAAATCTGGTTTCAGAGTGAGTTATTAACTTATTAACATGGGCTGCTGCTAAATTAGGAACCAGCTTAAAAGGGGTTTTTCATCATCACCATGTATGTAATACTAGCTTTCCGCCCGCGGCTTCGCCCGCGTGGAATTTTGTCTGTCACAGAAAAACTTTATCGCGCTCGTCCCTGTTTCAAAAACCGGGATAAAAACTATCCTATGTTCTTTCCCGGGACTCAAACTATCTCTATGCCAAATTTCATCAAAATCGGTTGCGAGGTTTAAGCGGGAAAGCGTAACAGACAGACAGACAGACAGACAGAGTTACTTTCGCATTTATAATATTATAGTTGGCATTGCTAAGTCTAATCAGTTCTTAGAAAAATTTGCTCCCAAGCATACATACCCAAGAAGAATTTCCTTCCAAGCCTGTCCATTCCGAGCACAGCGAAGATATTCGAGGGTATAGCGGCAGCGACCGTGATCAGCGAGTCCATGAACACGTCGGAGTGTATGTGCGCGTCACAGGTGGCCGTGGCCGAGTGGGTGCCGTGCTGCGTGACGTAGGCCGTGACTTGGCAAATGTCGGCCTCCGCGTTGTCGTGGGTGCGGGACCACTCGTCGAAGCGGTTGAACATCTCGGGGAACCACATCATCAGGCCGTAGTATCTGGTAAGAAGTGAATTAAATTAAATTCGTAAGCTCGCTTAACCGTTACTAACGCTATTGGTTAAAAGCCTTATATTTCATAATATCCACCAAGGGAGATGGAGGCAATGAGCTTCTTTGTGGATAAAAAATAAAAAAAGTTCTCTGGGAATGTGTACTTAGCTCGTTTCACAGTTTCAGAAGCGAATAACGAGTTCTAGAGAATTCCGCCTAATGAAGCAGAAAGGTAGAGCTGGTTTTTATTAAGTTTTTATCTTTCTATCGCGTACTTTTAAACAAAACATCATATTCATGAGTTAGCTAAATGAAAATATTTTGTAGGTGCTTACCCGATATGGAATGTAAAGTTGATCGTGATAGAGATCATAGTGAACTTGAGTATAGGCGGTACAAACAGCTGTTTGCTGTGCTCCACGATGTCGCTGAACATTTTCCTCATTTTGGACTTGGGCGGTTTGGGTTCGAGGGGCTGTTGCTTCTCCGGCTTGGTGTGCATGGGTTCGTCGATGAGGATCTGTTTTACTGGGTACTCGTCCTTGCTGCGGCCGGTGTTCATGAGGTAGATGCTTCGGAAGACCTCGAGGGCTTCGTCGTGGCGCCCGTTGGAGATCAAGAACTTGGGCGACTCCGGCAGCAAGAAAAGAAGAGCGGCAACCACGAAGGACGGCAGTGACATGACGAGCAAGAATATACGCCATGAGTTGTACACGAAACCGCCGGTAGATCCTCCGATTTCTAGAAAAAACGACGGTAAATAAATTAATTTCTTGTTTTTAATTATATAAAAAAAGTATTCCCATATAGGTAGGTTAACTTATACTGACCACTAGGAATGATGACCCAAGCCAAACCAGCGACGAACAGGTTTCCCAAAGTCCAGAAAGCGGCCATAAAACTCAACATGGCACCTCGCTTCTTTTTGGGCTGGAACTCGGCGAAGTATGACCAGATGACCGGGCCTGATCCACCGAGCCTATGAAGTAAACAAAATAATGTTTACAGACCTATAATGTATGGGAAACTACCGAGTACCTGGATATAGCTAAATTACTACGGAAATGGCTCTATAAATATCGAATAATCAACAAGAAGCAAATGAAGATGTATTTAACAAGTATCTGCGAATTTGTCCGCGTCACCCAAATCAAACTACTTACTAAGTTAACAACGTATTCAAAACATTACTTGGTAATGTAGAGGCATTGTTTGCTTTTTTAGTTTCTGAGAACGCACCAGGAAGGATTCGAATCGAAAGGTATAAAATGCCTACTAATGAATGATGAGTAAGTTTTATTTTCGTCGGAATGCCAATTAAGTATTTCTACGTCTTCGTTTCTGGATAAGAGACCTCCAAGACGATGGTAAAATTTTTGACAATCGCCAAGAGTGAGTGCTATGTGTTCCCACTCTATTCTATCGTTAAATATTTTACAATTCTACGTAATAAATGATAATTTTGGAGTCATATAATTCAGATACGTAGAGGAGCGTTATTAAGATATTACCCTGGTTCTATAGTCCTATCATTGCACGTAAGGGACTTGGGTAGGTACTCGTTGGTTTTGAATTTGTTCTTGATAAGGAAGAATATCTTCACGGTTCTTTTACTAATGGTTCTTTACTTACGCAGCACCATTCATGAAGCGGAACAGCATGAAGAGTTCGTAGTTCTGGCTGAAGGAAGAGGCGACGATGGCGAGTGCGTTGACCACCGAGATGGCGATGAGCACGCGCTTGCGCCCCAGCGAGTCGGCCACGGAGCCCCACGCGTAAGCGCCCACCATCATGCCGATGAAGATTATGCTGTTCAGCCATCCCTGGGGACAAGCAGGTATGTAAAAATAAGATAGAGAAGGTCTATATAAGAAGAGGAATTGCAAAAGTCAAAGTGCGCTATGTAGCCTATTACGCCGGCTCGTTCGTGGCTCTTTAATTAACTTTTTTTTGTCCTGTGGGTGAAATGATGACTTGTAATGTTTGCAGAAAATAATTTTTGTGTGCTAGCAATTTTTATGGTGCTGTTTTGGTGCCCCCCTTTGGTGTTTTGCTTAATTTGCTTACGGATCTGAGTTCAGTGCTTGACGATATTAGATGAAAATTAGTTAATTTGAAGTAGATAAGTAATCCTCGAAATAAACATTATGTTCGACAAAGGAAAAAATATCATTTAAGTAGTGCTGCATTCGGTGCATTCAGACAAGTGGACACGAATTGTCATACAATAGAAAGACCTTCAAATGGCTATATCCGAATAGAGGGCCTTCAAAAAGATGGCGCAACCATTTGGTCAATACATTCGTCAATAAAACAACTTTCAACATCATCCATGGATGAAAAAGGATCATGAGTCTTCTACATTTAGAGGACCACAATTTTTTACTAATCACTTTATAGTATTTATTAGTAAATAAGTTCATCGAACGACTCATTACTCCTTATGTATACGTTTTGCGTTACGTTAATTTGATAGACAATGATACATTATGTCATTCAGATGCAATGTAAACACACGATCACGAAAACTATCCAAAAACCCAACAGTGAAGTCACTGTTTGCGCGTAGTTCGCGCCGCAAAATTGGGAGCCGTATGACATCATGGTTTTTATACTTTGTGCCTGTGACTTTGACAACAAATGACACGCGATTGTTAGCACATATCTATTTTTTATCCGTATTTGTATTTTGTTTTTAGTGAGAAAAAACAGGAACTTGTTAGCTAGATATCTTTTAAAGGAGTCGGTAAAAAAACAAAAGTTGAAGAAACAGTTTCGTGCCATTGTCTACTTAATGACGTGCATTAGGGGAGGTCTATGTGCTGATGATGACTTACTTTAGTCTGTGTGGTGAGGTCTAAGTCGCACTGTGCCGAGGGCAGGATGAACGACATAGAGATGACGTCCATCTCCTCGGAGGTGCTGACGAGGCCGCATACTGCCAGCAGCAGGTAGTGGAACCGTCCATATCCTGGAAACATTTAAAATGTTAGTGCATCATGTCTAGCCACATGGTAAGTAAAGCACGTGAATTCAAAATGAGTAATGGTTTCAATGTATTACATCTATCTTCGCCTTTTACTTAGCATTTCGTTTAGAACCATCATGACTCATCCGTACATATCTATAGTTACCTGATAGAATGTAAGTTTATTTTGGTGACGTAAACTAATGTAACAAAACAAAACGTAGCTATTTCCAGTCCCCAAAATTGCCATCGCATGTCATTCCATTCTCGAACGTTTGGCCTATTGCGTCTTTCTTTTCATTACACGTTCCTTATATCCTGCACGAGTGTAAACATACCCCGAGTATCGAGGTTCGGAGAAAGGCAGCTTGTTTACAACAACAAGGGCCATCCTCGTTCCACTACAGACGGTTTCTCAAACTGTTTCTTTAATTACACTTCTTGATTTTAAATTAAGTCTCACTAGGAGGCGTTAAATTGCTGTTAAATTTAATAAAGTTTAAAAAAAAGATTAACATGTGTAACGTAACAACGATGTTTTAATTAATTAATGACCTGGCATGTGACTTATCGACTAGATGTCCGATCCAAATCTTAATTATCAGTTTTTCAATCCGAAAAACTGATATAAGAAAACACGTGATGCTTAATTAGGAGGTACCTACTTAAAATATATTTTGATTTTCTTATTGCATTCCTATCACATGTTGAGAACCACTGACCCATGGGAATGCTAACTGTGCGCTCTTCATTCATGAAACGACTGATCGTGGCCACCGTTCAGGTTGCATATCTCTTTACAATCGTAACTGTCTCATGTTCCGCTTACTGGCCCGTTACAGTTTAGTGTTATTATGTTATAAAATGCTTCAGTTTTATGTATTTTTAACTGCGGAAACCAGTCGGAGGGAAGTTGTTTTGACATGCAGTCGCACGATTTCTAAATGAGTTCTGAATTTCTGATACTTACCAGTTAGTTCTATAGCCCTCTCGAAATCAGCTTTTTCCGGGATGCCTTTCTCCGGGTCTGCCTTGACTGGTGTCTTCAGCGAAGGAATGACACCTAAAAAGAAATGAACATTATTATTAATGTATTAGCTTTCGACTTACAAGCTGTTTAACTAGACGGACAAAGTCTAAAGTCTAAACTACCGAGGTTTATGGTCAATTTTATAGAACGATGGTAGAGTCACAATTATTAGTTTGGATATCCAAAACCTAAAAGAAACAATGTATGTACGTATCACATAGACTTATACTTGTAACTATCAATTATTGCGTAGTTTTGTAAAATTGTACTACTATCCATCATCATCACGGACAGCAGTGCTTGTGATGATGTTTGCGCAGTGCCTAATTTAGGTGATGATGCTACAATCTGATAACTGAAAATCGCTAAGATAATGTTATTTTCACAAATCTTATTAGTCCAGTCAATGAATGCCTTAACGACGGTGTAGAGAGAAATCCATGGAACACAATTTCTGACCTCGGGACTTTATTTAGCCTAGTTAGGTGGTGAACATAGCAAAAGTCCCCGCCCTTAGCCCTTGAGCCGGCGGGGAGAGGGGGGTTTAAAGGTTCCACTTTTCGGTTTTTCGCTTAATCCTCGGAAACTATGCGTCCTAGTGACATGACTACTATGAACCAAAAAAAGCTTATTCAATTTGCTACAGGTGAGACAGTCAAGTTTTTCTATATCTTGTATAGTTTTTGCGGCATCTGCTCTAGAAGGTCTGTAAAATTGGAAATTTTATTGTTGTCTTACATGTTCCTTTCAGGAGAAAATCGACTAAATCAACATTGAGCAAACACTATAGACATGCGGGAGCATGTTAAGCCTAGTTCCATGGAGGGGACTGCACCGTGCGTATATTTAGACGAACCAGTTAGAGCCACTTTTGACTCCTCATCATTCAAAAACTACTGTGCATTAACACTTCAAATTTGGCTCATGTATTGAGACTTGCAAGATGTAAATCAGCTTCAAATTTCATAAATATACCTCAAACGGTTATTTAGGTATTGACGTTCAAAAATCGATATTTAGAGCACTACTATCTATCTATCACATGTGAAATGTTAAAATTTACTGGTTTTTTATTTGTTCCTTTGTATTTACAGAACTACCTTTCTGGATGCCAAATTTGAACCTTCGAGGTCATCTGGAAGTGGTTAGAATTTGGTCTATAGGTCAGACATGTAGATTTTTGGACGTCAATATCTAAAGAACCGTTTGAGGCAGATTTATAAAATTTGAAACTGATGTATATCTTGTAAGTCTCAACACATGAGCCAAATTTAAAGTGTTAATGCACAGTAGTTTTTGAGTGATGAGGACTCAAAAGTGGCTCAAAGTGATTCGTCTAAATATACGCACGGTGTAGTCCCCTCGCTGGAACTAGGCTTAACATGCTTCCGCATGTCTAGAATGATTGCTCAATGTTGATTTAGTCGATTTTCTCCTGATGAGAACATGTAAGACAAAAATAAAATTTCCAATATTACAGACCTTCTAGAGCAGATGCCGCGAAAACCATACAATTTATAGAAAAACTTGTCTATCTCATCTGTAGCAAATTTAATATGCTTTTTTTGGTTCAAAGTAGTCATGTCACTAGGACACATAGTTTCCGAGGATTAAGCGCAAAACCGAAAAGTGGCACCTTTAAACCCCCCTCTCCCCGCCGGCTCAAGGGCTAAGGGCGGGGACTTTTGCTATGTTCATCTCCTAACTAGTCTAAATAAAGTCCTGAAGTCAGAAATTGTGTTCTACAGTTTTCCATCTATAATGCTTTATTGACTGGACTATATGTGACGAACTTATTATAAAAAGCATTGGTATCATCTGGTATCTTTTACTTGTTATAAGCAAATCTCATTTTTTGCAAGTTATTTAAAAAAATATACGAAATAAATACCTACACCAAAGAAAGAAAGAAAGTTCATTGGACACTTGTAGATTAACTAATTAGTTTAAGTCGGTCATTAGATTATCCGCTATTTAATAGCAAAATTAAATGATTCTAAATTGACAAATCAATTAACTGTTTATCAAGTGACTAATAATTAAATATGCTGATGGATGTTATGCAGTCATCGTATTTTAGATAGCGTCCAGATACGTCGTTTTTAGTAGCTCGTCATCATTGAGATTCATTGTCAACAGATTGCTCCTTGAATTCTCGATTCTTCGAATTTATCTGGCAGCTTTTTTACAACTGCTTGTTTAGGAATACTTTTGAAAAACCTATGTATGTGTATTTTACATGTTCATTGACTTACCTAGGTCAGTATTTTTGGAGCCTGGCCCGTTTAGCTGGTGGTCCCTTTTTACATCACAATCTGAAACAAATTTAAATAAATAAAGCTATAGGTAGAACAATATTAGCATACGATATGCGCTCTAATAATATAATAATGCTTTTGATTAAATTACAAAATGGGAAATTGATTTTAAAAATATGGTGTCGTGTAGAGTCGGTATTTTAATAAGGAAGTACTTTTCTAAATACTTATAGTAGTACCTTTGCTCGGAAGCTAATCAATGACTGTTAACTACACTACCACGTGACAACACGGAAGACTAACATGATTTATGAACCCAGAATAACATGTGGGTCACATTGTACATGTAAACTGTTGAGTGGTCAAATTGATTAATAACGTGAGGTTGACCCTTGGGTTACTCACATACTAATCCTAGATATCATTGACTTTTATAGCGAAACTGTGTTTCCTTGCAAAATAACCAGTTTTGTATAATTTTACAAGGTTCAAAGTGTGATCCTTGAGAAAGCACGGTGCTTTCAAGCAGCTTGTTGGGCCATGGATGCGAAAGTTTACTGGAGTAGTACATGTTCTTTTCCATGTAATTTCCACTTCTTTTCCTCACAATTTTGATACTTCTGTGTAGCCACTAACTAGGCTATTGCAAAGTCCCGAAAAGTGACGGTCAGATAATTCCTTCCAGGGTAACTATTGAAAAGATAACCGAAGAACTAGCTCTCATTTGATTATGTGTCAGGAGTGCTTAAAACAGTTGTGCCAGTATAGGTGGTTAGGTGGTAGGCTTTGCAGCTAGTATGCTATAGTGACGTGTTCGGTCATTACCTGCATAGGTCATATGAGTAATTGAGATAGATCAGTGTCCGTGCTATGATGTCTGTGAAGGCTGTTGAGACTCTACATCTACTTAATAAGCATTAAGATGATGGATAGAGTTGGAGATGTCTGAGATATTTTTCTATCAGTGTAACACGTGAATTCGCTACTTCACCGCGGTTTTATGGTTGGTGGTTATTTGCTAAAGGCGTGTAACATTGACGTGACGAATCTCTTGTGTCGAAAACCAGGCAGCATGGTTTAATACTTTAGTTGGCATCCTTGCAGAATGAATTTTAAAAAGGTGGCTATAGTGGCATTTTAGAAGAATTTAAATCGTTCTCCGTAACAACTACAACTCAACAACAACAGCAACTCCTGTGTTGTCAGGATCTGCAGCTTAACCGCCAATAAAATCCCACCCAGTGAAGATGAAATTTGTCCCAGGGGAATGTTAAACTGTCATTGGACCCGCAATGAAAATGATCAGCAGAACATAGGGGGAGTACGAAGTTCGACTTGGATCCTATGCAAAGGGATTGATAGGTGACAAAACCAAGGTAATTTAGTAGGTCTTGCTTTTCCATTGATAAAGTGGTACTTACTGTGAGGTTTCTTGGGCCCGGGGTCAGTTTCTACCATCCTATGCGGGCGGGTTGCGGGGGATGTCTGCGGCGGCGCGGACTAACTGCTCGAATTCAATGGGTCTGTGTTCGCTTCCAACGGCGATCGGCTCGTCTGTAACAATGGAAACAAATAATTAAATACCCAAATAGGCCAGCGTAGCGTTAATCGCTTTTATGAAGGTTTCTTGACTTCATCGAATCAAAATCGGAATGTGACGTAGTCTATGTCGAAGACAAGACTGGCAATGCAAAATCATTAGCTGTCCTAAAGATTTTCATGTGTAATATTGTCCTATCACAACCTTTACAGGTGAAGTGTGGCATCTTATATTAAAAGTATTAATCCGCTTTGCAAAAAATGTAGAGCCTAATTACTAGGCTATCGACTGTAAATATTCATTTATAACGGGTTGTGATCGGCAAGGCTTTTTTGTATTTCAGGTTCTGGGTTAAATAGGTACGTTAAATATGCAGATACTTCATTAGTATGCAAATATAAAGAGTTTACTTCGTTTTTCGTTAACTTCCAAATACTGTTTGATACTGTACAGGCGCGTTTGCTTTCGTCATGCAAAAACTTTCTCAAAATATACCGAGTCTGTAAGTAATAACTGTAAAAATGTTTTATTATGTGCAATCGTACCAATTGGATGTTATTCTAGGTAACGTCTGAAGAAGTTTTATTGGCATTGCATTAGCGCAGATGCGCTAGTCTAGACACGTGAAGGTGTACAATGTACATAGTAAAATAGTTTTTAGTGGGGAACAAAAAATCTTAATCAGATTAGTAGATTTGGCTGGCCAGACTTGTATCTTATGTAACTAACGTAATCCAGATCACATCTTATCAGCTGATATAAATTAATTTCAAATCTAATTAAAATATTTAAGTTAATAACTAAAATAGCGCAACGTATCAAAAATATTTTTAATGAAATCATCTGAATTTTCTCTAAATCAGCTATTTTACGAAAATTTAAAACTCGAAGTGAATAGCTATAACAAGTCTATAAAAATGTTATAAACATAAAACATCAATGATGAACTTTACGACCTTGAAATGGAAAATATCGTGCTGAAAGTTACGGTAAAAATAAATCTGGATATGATTCTGGCACTTTTTCAAAACCCCCATGTTGATCGGCTTACTTTTCATTAAAGTGATGTAAAGTCTGAATATTTGCTTTCATTTCTGTCTGTATTCTATGACCATATTTATGCGACAATAGTTCAACAGTGACGGACGCTGATTCGAGATTCGAGAAACGCTAGTTCAATATCCGACGACCGCTGGACAAATGTGGTAAAACCACTCCTAACGCAAGTATATTATGGTACTTGCTTGGGAACATAACAATTGATTTATCTACACTAATATTATAAAGAGGAAAACTTTGTTTGTTTGTTTGGTTGTAATGAATAGGCTCAAAAACTACTGGACCGTTTTTAAAAATTCTTTCACCATTCGAAAGCTACATTATCCACGAGTAACATAGGCTAAATTTTATTTTGAAAAAAAATAGGGTTCCGTGAAATATGTAGATAATGTAGTCCACGCGCGCGAAGCCGCGGGCGGAAAGCTAGTTAAACAATACAAATAAAATGGCAACATTCTTTGCTTGACTAAAAGTTTTTATTGTTGAATTTTATTAGATCAAGCCCCAGTCAGACCAGTCATTTTGTAACCTTCCTGTCACCTTAAATCTAATAAGCATGAAGATTGGCATGTTTCTTGCGCTGCTGCTGCTCAGCACTGGCCCATTTATTGTCCTGAAGCAGTGGTAGGGTTAATACTGGGACGTGTAAAAGTGCTTTTTAAAAGCCTAGACTTGCATAAATAAATGAGTTTTATGAGTTTTTTATGTAAGTAATCAACTGTTACCTCTACCTGTGGTATTAAACGATTCGTAGGTATTTTATTCGAATCAAATTCCTTAAAATAATATCTCTATTTCTCCAGTACTTGTAAAGTATAGAATGCTTATGGCAGAGCGCAGCATTTGGTACGTGTTTTATAATAATGCACAGATGAGTGATCGCGCAACAATGGGCGGGAAGCGGCCGTCAGTCGCACAGCGCTGCGCGGGCGCTCGAAACTGTGGACTCATTCAGTTTACTCTGATCTCAATGCTGACCACCTAATCCCGATAGTAGGTCAAGATGTATTTGTTTACTAACATGAAGATACAGTTTTGATTTCTTTAACCAGTGAAATATCCCATTCTTCGTCTGATATCAACCCCAGTATCGCAACTTTCTCCATTAAGGAAAACTTTGAACCCCCATTTCACCGTTTCAGGGACGAAATCTTCTCTCCTTGGAACCCTTAATAAGGTAGTCAAGAGATATTTCCTTTTTTCAAAACTACGTTACTTTATTGCCTGTAAGTAGTCACGTATACTTATTATGAATAGGTTTTTTGATAAATATAATTTAATAGTTGTCAAAAAATTACTTAGGTATCTGTTCATAAATTGTCATTGATTTGACTCTAAATTAGGGAACTCCCAGTTACACAGCGAGGAAACATTAAAAATACTACGATTAATACTAATAGTCAATATTAGTTCAGTCATAACGAGTATATCAATCAAATTGTTGACTTGGCAATACCGGTACCATCATAAGCTTTTGACACACAAATTGATAGCCAAACACGCAAACATCTATGTAACTTATGTAAAACAATGTTGAACAAGTAAACAATAAGTTTAAAACTAAATTAAGTCGAAAATAGACTAAATATTCTAATACAGATATGGATTTATTCATGAATCGAAATAGTTTACAGTAGATACTTAAATAATTAATAAAAAAATGATTTATTTTTGTTATCACAATTTTCACAGTTTGACTCTACCTACGTTTTAGCACAGATAAGTTTTAATGTGATTTTAATTAATATTTTTCATGTAAATGATTGTTTTTAGTACAGTGCCAAAGGATTTCATTACGTGAAGTCCTTGAGATTGCAACACGCGAACGCGATATATTTGCTAAGCATTTTAACTGTGATTTAACGGATCAAATATGCGAGTTTGTATCTACTTAAACTAATCAATTAGTTCCTTCCTAGCAGAGCAAGCCCACCAAATCTTTCATGTCATGTCTCTATTTTCGTAGTAAACACTTATTCTTATGTAGTCATGTATGTAATTCATATTTGAATATAATTAAGTGTTTCAATTACATAACTATGAGTATTATGAGGTATAAAGGAAAATACAGCGTTGATACAGCTTTTAAGTGTAGGTAGGTACCTTACACGTACATCATTTGATATTGTGTGCTAATAGACACTTGTTACATGTGTTACATTGTTAAGCATCTCATCCATTTAATAGGTTACATAAACAATGCTAGGATCTTATAAAACTTGTTTTCAGTTATGATTTATTTGTTTTGTCATGATTGATTATGTCCTTATTTGCATACTTACCTACTTATTAAAATGAATTAATTAACCAATTTGAATTTGACGAACTTGGTATGAATAATTAAATACCATGTCTTACTAGCTTAGGACCTCGGGTTTTCTTTTGATTTTGTATTAAGTACCTAGTACAGTTTTAAGATAAATGGTGAAAATGTAAGACTGAAACATAAATTGAAGTGTTAATGATTGCTATTGCAACATTTTACTTTGCAATATTTTTCATGTTTTTCTAATTGGCCATACGGACTTCATTTGTTTGATTGTTTTTTCTTCTAACCCTCATTTGTAAAAACAAATGGCGTAAAAAAAATCTTTTTACATCATAGACAAACATTTAAAAAAATAATTTTAAAACATTTTGAAAAGTGTTCCATTAATTCCAAATTTAAAATTGTAATCCGATGTTATGGCGCGGTCAGGGTTACCGCCACACGCAACACTGCGGTCCAGGGCGCGGCACAATGTGCCAACCTTGTTTTGTCCGAACTCGTGAGACAGAAAAATCAACATTATTGTGATTTTTGACGACACCTTGTGCTTTATAGCCAGCTGTTTTTTGTTATTACTTCCGGATGATATGAATTTTTATAGTCAGTTTTTAAATTAAAGTCTTGATGATGTTTTATTTATATTGTTTGTTTTCGTCTCAGTTAAGATGTTTAATCACAAATTGATTTAAGATGTTAATAGTTGTCAGCTTCTGCGTAGTTTTTGGTCTGTCACTCAAAGTTTATAAGTGGGTGAATCCCTCAATAAAAACACATAGCAAAGTCTTCCATTCGCAACCTTAAAAGTCTAGTTTAGACTTCTTCTAGGCAAGTTTGCTATTACATAGATTCCTTGAGCAGACTCTCAATTTAAGTATCAACTTCAGAGTTAAAAGTTATATAATATGTAGTTATTAAACGATAACATGTGTCCTATTAATATGAATGAGTTATGAATTCAAATAATACCATACCAACTCTAGCTACGCAAATCTTTGTTGGTAGAGTTGTTATAATACATAACAGATGTTCTTTTGTGTGTGCTTTTTATAACTTATGAAGAGAAAACTAATTGATGTTTGTAAGTTATAATTCGCGTTGTAATAGTGACTAACTGATACTGAAAATAGGAAAACAAAGAAACACGTCATTTCTCAATATTGTAAATTCAAATTTTCGTCCAGTTTTCCGACGCCACTAATTGCTATAGATTAAACCTGCGTAACCGTTTACAGTTAACGTATTATCTTTTAATGTCAGACTATTAGTCCGTGGCGAGTAGTTTACAAAGAAGTTAAAAGACTGTCGATTTTGTCTGTTATTATAGACCAAGAGCTAGTGAACGCCAGACCTTCGGTTTAAAAGCTCCCAACATAGGTAAGAACGTTGGAACATCATGAAGTTTGTGCTATCGGGTCTTTGGCAGCTACTCTAAAATGCTTACCTGGCTACCCTAAAATGCTTGAATAGTCAAAACTACCTAGCTGATGAGGAAAATACATTTAATTATTGCCCAAAAATTTGGTAATGGTATACGTAAGCTTTTACGGTATATTCATAAGAATGTAAATCCTTACGAAGGTCTGGTGTTCACTGGCGCTTAGTCCATAGCTCGCAAATCGAATGTAAACAAGCTCGGTGTATTTATTTTGGAAGTCGGTTCAAAAGAAGTTGTTTGGCGTGCGCAGG